GTCGTTTGTTGATTTGTTGATGTTGGCCATTCTGACAGGTGTGAGATGGTACCGCATTGTTGTTTTGATTTGCACCTCTCGGACAATTAGTGACTTTGAGCATGTTTTCATGTGCCTTTTGGCCTTCCTTCTGTCTTCTTTTTTTTTTTTTTTTAATATATTTTATTGATTTTGTACAGAGAGGAAGGGAGAGAGATAGAGAGTTAGAAACATCGATGAGAGAGAGTCATCGATCAGCTGCCTCTTGCACACCCCCTTCTGGGGATATGCCTGCAACCAAGGTACATGCCCTTGACCGGAATCGAACCCGGGACCCTTCAGTCCCCAAGCCGACGCTCTATCCATTGAGCCAAACCAGTCTCGGCTCCTTCTGTCTTCTTTTGAAAATATTCTATTTAGGTCCATTGCCCATTTTTTAATTGGATCATTCATCTTCCTTTTATTTATTTGTATAAGCTGTCTGTAAATGTTGGAGATTAAACCTTTATCAGTGGTATTATTTGCAAATATGTTCTCCCACACCGTGGGCTTTCTTGTTTTGTTGATGGTTTCTTTTGCTGTAAAAAAGCTTTTTATTTTGATGAAGTCCCATTTGTTTATTTTCTCTTTAGCTTCCATTGCCCTAGGGGCAGTATCGGTGAAGAAGTTCTTTTGGCATACGTCTGAGATTTTGCTGCCTATGGATGCTTCTAGTATTTTTATGGTTTCCCATCTGATGTTTAAGTCCTGTCTCCATTTTGAATTTATTTTTGTGAATGGTGTAAGGTTTTTTGATCCTAAAAAAATAATTTACAGTATTTTACTGTTGAGATAGAGAGGAAATGGTGTATGTTGAGATCAGGCTTTATTTAAAGATATATTGCCACTAGCCCTTTATAAGTTACCTCTTTCTAATTTATAGTTATATATCCACTACGTATATTCTTTTTCTCCTTTTGTTGGGGAGATTGTTTCTTCTCTTGATTTGATTAAAAAAAACATGCACACAGTTTTCCCTTATTATGTAGATTAGTGTTAATAATTTTGGAAATGCTCTATACATTTATTTCATTATTCTTAGCTTACCTAGAAAATGAAGACAAATTGAATAAGAAGTTAATTTGAAATAGTTAACAGTGAGCTAATCTTTATATTTTAAACTGTGCTTTTTACTTGCCACTAGATGGACCTACTCTCATAATGAACTGAGGAAAAAAGAATTCTTTTTTAAAATCCTCAATCGAGGATGTTTTCATTGACTTGTAGAGATAGATAGGAAGAGATAGAGAAACATCAGTGTGAGAGAGAAACATCTGCCAATTGCCTCTCCAACATGCCTGACTAGGAAATTGAACCTGCAACCTTTTGTTGCATGGGACAATGCTCCAAGCAACTGAGCAACCCAGCCAGGGATAAAATCTTTTTAACATTGAAGACATATCAGACTAAGCTTGTAGCATACTCAAATAATGGAATTATTTTACATTAAATGCATAATCTTCCTTTTTTAGGGGTAGAGATTTGTCAGTAACACTTAAACTTTATATGTATTTTCACAATAAAGAATATTAAAAGAGCAATTGTACTTTCTTAAATTATATAGTCACATGACTTAATCATTTAATTGGCAATTATTCTTATATTTCCTGTTCATAAAAAAAATATTTAGTCTTGCTTGAGTAAAAGTTAGGTGCAAAAACAGTCGTGGTTTAGATGAGAACATACCTCAAGTTAGAATGTTTGCTGCTTAAACTGGTCTGAAATATAAAGCAGAAGGGAAATTTACATGTTGGGTTAAGATATATATTGAATAAAAGTCTTTTTACAGCTAATGTTATTGTAACTTTTTTGAATTCCCCTCTCTTATAAAGCAGTGGAGGATGATGGAATTTATAGAATTTCATTATAGCCATTTACTTCTAAGGGGGTGCTTTTTCTATTCAGGGCTGATCTCTTTATTTTTTTCCTTCAGAAACTTCATTTTAGTTATGACCTTGTTCTCTATATTGTCAACCTCTGTAACATAACTAGGTCCTTTCAGCTTGTAAACATATTAAAGCCTCTCATATTAAACTAGAGGCCAGGTGCATGAAAATATAGGTGCATGAAAATATAGAGAGCTAGAAATGTCGATGAGAGAGAAACATCGACCAGCTGCCTCTTGCACACCCCCTACCGGTGATGTGCCCGCAACCAACGTACATGCCCTTGATCGGAATCGAACCTGGGACCTTTGAGTCCACAGACCGATGCTCTACCACTTAGCCAAAATGGCTTCGGCCTGCCTCTGCACTCTTAAGTCATGACTTTGAGTTCTAAGCATTATGTGACATTTAAACCACCAAGCTCTGCCGAGACCGGTTTGGCTCAATGGATAGAGCATTGGCTTGGGACTGAAGGGTTCCGGGTTCGATTCCGGTCAAGGGCATGTACCTTGGTTGCGGGCATATCCCCAGTAGGGGGTGTGCAAGAGGCAGCTGATCCATGACTCTCTCTCATCGATGTTTCTGACTCTCTATCTCTCTCCCTTCCTCTCTGTACAAAATCAATAAAATATATTAAAAAAAAAATAAACCACCAAGCTCTAATGTCTTGAATCTTCCTTTTTTCTTTGTTTTCTGACACCATAACAGTTAATTTTTGGTCTTTGTTTATGGTTCCTCCCCACCCCACACTTATTCTTGAAAGGTTGGTTTTCCTCATATTTAATCCTTAATTTTCTTCTCTTATACATCTTCTTAGCAATCTTCCATAGTTGACTATATATTGCTTATTTTTGAATGTACAGCTCTAACCAGACCTCTCTGTGAAGCTCTTTACCATTATTTACAAATATTCCTTAGTCCCATATGAACCTTAACCACATCATGCCCAACTGTATGTACTTACTCATTGCCTTGGCTGTAGGATGATGTAACTCCTGTACTTCCTAACCTAGTAAATGGTACCACTGCCCAATTAGTCACCGAAGTCAGGAAACAAAGACTCCTTTAAAATCTTTTCTCTCAATATTGACAGTCATTTATCTCTCAGAATGCAGATTCTACCTTAAATGTGTCTTCAGTCTGCCTTTCCTCCTTATCCATATCACTATGACCTTTGTAACTCAGACCTTGTCTCACACATTAACTACTGAGATGGCTTCCTTATTGGTTTTCTTACTTCATTGTTGCTTTCTCTATATCTTCTGTTGAGCTACCATTGGAGTGGATTATCTGAAACTTGATAATTTTATTGCCATGCTAAAAATTCTTTAATATTGCCCCATTGCCCTTATTATTTCTTTAGTATGATGCAAAAATTTCTTCAGGATTTTGATCCTCTTGCTGTCTCCAACTGCATTTGGGATTACTTTCTTATCCTATTCCATGCTCTAGCCATTCTCATTCATTTAAAGTTTGCTGTATGTGCTAATTTGATTAATAAATTTACATTTGTACAAATTTCTCCTATTGTCTTCAGTTTCTTTGTATCCTTGTTTATTGAGCATTGTGTATTGACTAACTTTTAAAAAAATTTCTCATTCAAGGATATGTTTTCATTGATTTTTAGAAAGAGGAAGAGAGAAAGGACAATAGATATGAGAGAAACAGACCGATTGCCTCCTGTATGGGTCCTGACCAGGAATTAAACCAGGAATCTTTTGGTGTACAGGATGACATTCCAACCAACTGAGCTACCCCACCAGGGCCATTGACTAAGTCACAGGATGCTTTGTATACATGGAGAGTAGTTTGTAAAAGGTAACATTAAAAAGAAAGAGATAGCCAAAACCGGTTTGGCTCAGTGGATAGAGCGTTGGCCTGTGGACTCAAGGATCCTGGGTTCGATTCCGGTCAAGGGCATGTACCTTGGTTGCGGGCACATCCCCGGTAGGGGGCACATCCCCAGTAGGGTTGTTCAAGAGGTGGCTGATCGATATTTCTCTCTCACAGATGTTTCTGACTTTCTATTCCTCTCCCTTCCTCTCTGTAAAAAAAAAATCAATAAAATATAAAAAAAAAGAAAAGAAAAAAAAGAAAGACATAGCTTGGTTGTTGTGACTCGGTGATTGAGCATCGATCTATGAACCAGAAAGTCACAATTTGACTCCTGGTCAGGGCACATGCCCTGGTTGCAGGTTTGATACCCAGTAGGGGGTGTGCAGGAGGCAACCAATCAATGATTATTTCTTACCATTGATGTTTCTATCTCTCTTTCCCTCTCCCTTCCTCTCTAAAATCAATAAAAATATATTTTAAAAAATGGAAGACATAATCTTAAATGTCTGGATAGCCTACCATTAAACAGAAATTACAGGAATGAGGTTTGCAGGAGAGTGAATTAACCCTGGCAGTAAAGTTGTAATGTTGGTAACACCCATCAATGTTATTACACTTTCAAAGTAGTTAAAATGATTTAAAAATTAATTATTTTTAGAATTTATGAAGCTCATTTTCAGAACATAGAGGTAAGATCACTGATCTCAAATATGTCCTGAAAAAAGGCTTAAGGAAAAGAAAACATGTTTTTTCTCATGTTTTCTTCTAAAAGTTTTCTTGAAAGATTATAAAGTAATATAAAGATATAGTCAGATGGTTTCTAGAGAACTTCAAAGTAGTTTTATTTTTAGTGTATATCTATAGTTATTTTCTGTATTCAGTCGTGTGTGTGTGTGTGTGTGTGTGTGTGTGTGTGTCTGTCCCCTTAGAGTTGTGTGCTTGATGAAAATACCTCCTTATTTAAAATGCTTACAATTTTTGGTGTTAAGAGAAGTTTTTAGATCTTAGAGATAATTTGCAATTAATCAATAACTTATAATAAATCTATATATAACACTTAAACTTCTAGCTAGTGTTATAAATTAGATTCTAAGCAACTTCAACAGACAAGTTAGTAATAATTATAAGAGAGGGCTGAGTTTTTAAAAATGTAGTTATTTTACAAAAATTGAAATGTTTTGATTGCAGATTGAAATATTAAAGTAAAATGTGGTCTCTGAAGTGATTTTAATTTTAAAACAATGCTACTTTATTTTCTAGGTGTTCATTGTACCCATGGCTTCAATCGTACCGGTTTTCTCATATGTGCCTTTTTGGTGGAGAAAATGGATTGGAGGTATATGTTTCTTGTAATATATATGGGAGGAGACATATTTAGTAATGGATAAAAAAATTTCATTGATTTTAAAAAAAATACGTTATTTATTGATATTTTTAGAGAGAAAGGAAAGGAGAGGGAGAGAGAATTAGAAACATTGAAAAGAAACATCAGTCGGCTGCCTCCTGCATGCTCCCTACTAGGGGTTGAGCCTGCAACCTGGGCATGTGCCCTGACCAGGAATGGAACCAGCAACCTCTTAGTGCCTGGGACATTGCTTAGCCAACTGAGCCACACTGACTGGGCTCATTTTTTTTTTTTTTTTTTTTTTTTAGCACTTTATATTGTCAAATTTTTGGTGAAGTCATGATTAATGTAATTTGAATTTGTTTTCATTTTAGTTCAGTTAATCTTTAGAATACCATTCATTGGTGTTTTTCTACTAAATAGCACTTTAGTTGAGTGCTCATGGACCCCGTATTCTATGTATTTTCTTATTTGTGTTCATATTCATTTTTGGAAGTTCCTGCTGTTTTTTTTTTTTTTAAATAAAATTTAATAGTACCTTTTTATAGCTATTAAGTACTAGGATACACTTATAAGATTATGTAGAGAAGTTATTTTTGGGACAGTGTTACTTTATTAAACCAGCCAACATGTTTTTATTGAGCACCCGTTATTAGTGAAATACCTTTTAAAATTGTGAGAAATTAGAACTTTTAGTTACTCAAAAATTCCTGAGAGATGGGATATTAACAACTGAATTTCCTCATTTACTGATTAAGGGTTATTATTTTGTTTATAAAGCCTTCCACACAGTAGGTCCTTCACTGAATATAATCAGCAGACGTACACGTCAGATTGTCTGTTTTATTTCCCTGTCATGCATCTTTAGTGTTCTCTTCTGCATGCACTTGTAGGGCAGCCTTTCTGGTCTTTCAGATGTTCTACACTAGCGATCATCTCATAACACACAAACTAATGACTAAAATTCTGCAGCACATCAAAAAATACATTTTTTCCCTTCTGAGAAAAAGACAGGAATAATTTTGAATCATTCACGTTGAATGGCTATTGTGTTGGCTGTTGTCACTTTTTAAAATTTAATAATCCAAGTGAAAAGATATCATTGTCCTGACTAAATAGGTATTTGCATGTTTTAAAAATTTTTACGGCACATGGGTTTAAAATTACTACTCTACACCAGAATCTTGTCAGATTCAGCCTAGGCTTAACCTTTCTCTGATGACCTATGCTCGGATTACCTGGGTTTGCTGAAAGTTCCTGAAAAACCAGCATACTTTTTACTTTTATTGATACTGCTATTCAAATTTCTTTGACATTTTTCCTTAAGACTTCAGTCAGAGACCTCAACCTTTAAAGCTTTGTTTAAATTCTTCACAGACTTGATGCAGGCCTTTTCTATACACTCAATGCAATTTACTTCTAGAGTTAGGAATTATCTATGTACCTTATGTTCAGACTGTTTCAGAATGAATTGTCCCTTAATAGATTGAGTGCCTTAAGAGAGGGACTGATTTGTCCATTATAAATCGGTGGTGCCTTAAATATAATAAACTAGAGGCACGAAATTTATGCAAGAATAGGCCTTCCTTCCCCCGGCTGCCATCATCAGCTTCCATCTGGCACCTGGGACCCAGGCATCCCTCGCAGCCCTGGCTTTGTCCGGAAGGTCTTCTGGAGGATATCCGGAAGGATGTCTGATCTAATTAGCATGGTATGGTTTTATTGTTATAGGTAGGTTTTGAAAAATCTGTATAAGTGGAGAATAGTGAGGAAATTGCATGGTATTTGTTTTCCATAGTATTGAAGCAGCAGTTGCCACTTTTGCTCAAGCGAGACCACCAGGAATTTATAAGGGTGATTATTTGAAAGAACTTTTTCGTCGCTATGGGGATATAGAGGAAGCACCAGCCCCACCTGTATTGCCAGATTGGTGTTTTGAGGATGAAGAAGAGGAAGATGAGGAAGATGATGTAAAGAAGGAACCAGAACCTGGGTCAAGTGCCTCCTTTGGCAAGAGGAGAAAAGAACGGTTAAAACTGGTAATGAATAAAAATATTATGGTCTTTACCTTTTTCTTTGTCAGATTTATGAGAATCTTCATGAGATTTATGAAAATGGAATGTTGACTGTGCTTCTTTTACTATATCTGAGAGTTTATTTTATTCTAGTTATTTATAAAGATTCTTGGTAGCCATGACTCTGCCTTTCGTATAAGGAAAGTTTGTTACATAAATTCATCCTGTTTTTGTTTCTTAGGTAAACCAAAGATCACATTAGACTGAGAATTTACTATTTCTTTGCAAAGTATTATGAAATTCCAACTAAATATCTAGTCAGAATTTACTAATGCTTTATAAAATTATTTTTCAGTCTAACCTTCGTAAATATATTTGAACTCTAATAAAACATTTTCCTTTTATTTTTAGGGTGCTATTTTCTTGGAAGGTATAACGGTTAAAGGTGTAACTCAAGTAACAACTCAACCGAAGTTAGGAGAAGTACAGCAGAAGTGTCGTCAATTCTGTGGCTGGGAAGGGTAATACATATTTTACTGTTTTAAATAAAATTTATTACTTTACAACACCATTGAAGCAAACATTAACTTAGTTGATTTGCTTCTTGAAATTTGTATGTTTACATAGACTGCTTACAAAAATTTAAATTTTTCTCAAGACAAGCAGTGTAATAGACAGTTCAGTCAAAAATTAGTTGACTCACATGTTTTCCTAAAGGATTAGAAAGTTACTATTGTCACTCTCTAGTATAAAATGTTTTTGTCTTTTTTTAGTATAAAATGTTTTGTATGTTTGAATCTACTATTGCAGATTAATGTTTGGGTTGCCCTTATTGTATTAAGGGAGAAGAGATAAAAATTGACTCTGCCCATATTTTAATTTTCCTGGGAGAATCAGCTTTAAATATGTTCTGCCCCCTACCATGACTTGAAATTACTTTATTTTATTTTATTTTTTAATTTAATAAATCTTTATTGTTCAGATTATTACAATTGTTTCTCTTTTTTCTCCCCATAGCTCCCCTCCACCTGGTTTCCACCCCACACTCTGCCTTTACCTCCCCCCACCCATTGTTCTCATCCATAGGTGTACGCTTTTTCCCCAGTCATTTCCTGAATGCCCCACACCCTTTTCCCCCTGAGAATTGTCAGTCCACTCCCTTTCTATGCCCTTGATTCTTATTATATTCACCAGTTTATTCTGTTCATAAGGTTTTTTATTCACTTGATTTTTAGATTCACTTATTGATAGATAATGTATTTGTTGTTCATAAATTTTATCTTTACCATTTTCTTCTTCTTCTTAAAGAATACCTTTCAGCATTTCATATAATACTGGTTTGGTGGTGATGAATTCCTTTAGCTATTTCTTATTTATGAAGCTCTTTATCTCACCTTCAATTCTGAATGATAGCTTTGCTGGGTAGAGTAATCTTAGTTGTAGGTCTATGAAGCTCTTTATCTCACCTTCAATTCTGAATGATAGCTTTGCTGGGTAGAGTAATCTTAGTTGTAGGTTCTTGCTATTCATCACTTTGAATATTTCTTGTCACTCCCTTTTGGCCTGCATAGTTTCTGTTGAGAAATCAGCTGACAATCATATGGGTGCTCTTTTGTAGGTAATTAACTGTTTTTCTCTTGCTGACTTTAATATTCTCTCTTTGTCTTTTGCTCTTGGCATTTTAATTATGATGTGTCTTAATGTGGTTCTCTTTGGATTCCTTTTGTTTGGGGTTCTGTGCGCTTCCTGGACTTGTAGGTCTATTTCTTTCACCAAGTGGGGGGAAGTTTTCAGTCATTATTTCTTCAAATAGGTTTTCAGTATCTTACTCTCCTTCTGGCACCCCCATAATTTGGATGTTGGTATGCTTGAGGTTGGCCCAGAGGCTCCTTACACTATCTTCATATTTTTGGATTCTTTTTTTTTCTTTTTGCTTTCAAGATGAATGTTTTTTGCTTCTTTGTATTTCAAATCTTTGACTTGATTCTTGTGTTCCTCTAGTCTGCTGTTATGTCTCTGTATAATATTTTTTATTTCAGTCAGTCTATGCTTAATTTCTAGTTGGTCCTTTTTCATATTTTTGAGGGTCTCGCTAAATTTAATGGCCTTTTCTAGGAAATTCTTGAAAAACCTTATAACCGTGGTTTTGAACTCTATATCCAGCCGTTTGTTTTCCTTCATTTCTTTCATTTGTGATCTGTTTCTTTGCCTCGCATTTCGGCTGCTTCCCTGAGTTGGTGGAGTAGCTTTGTGTGGTAGGTGTCCTATAGGGCACAGTGGCTCAGTCTTCCCAGTTATCTGAGGTGGACATCCTTGGTGCACCTCTTTGTGGACTGTGTGTACAGCCTTGTTGTAGTTAAGTCTTGGTTATTGTTGGTATCACTGGGAGGAATTGACCTCCAGGTCAATTGGCTGTGAGGATCAGCTGTGTCCATGCTGGGAGAACTTCTGTGCTGGAGATACCCTTATGGGACAAAACTTGTAAAATTGCAAAGCCTCTATGCTCAGCTTGGATGGGGCGGAGTTTCAGGGCTAAGCCAACAGCCTTGGCTTCCCGTCAGCCCTGTCTTATGAGGCCCTGGGTCTCAGTGTCCCTCTGTAATCGCTGTAAGCATCTCTGAGACAAAGCTGCCCTCGAGTTTTGCCTGCTGCCAGACAGTACAGTTTTTCCCCCTGAATGAGTCTGGGTTCCTAGAAATTTGCCTGGAACTGGAGTTTAGCGTAGTTGGGAGCTTTTGTCTCCCTCCCACTTTAGAAAGCCTGGTGCGGCCGGTTTGGTTTGGCTCAGTGGATAGAGCGTCAGCCTGCAGACTGAAAGGTCTCAGGTTCGATTCCGGTCAAGGGCATGTACCTTGGTTGCGGGCACATCCCCAATAGAGGGTGTGCAAGAGACAGCTGATCAATGATTCTCTCTCATTGATGTTTCTAACTCTCTATCCCTCTTTCTTCCTCTCTGTAAAAAACCAATAAAATATATTAAAAAAAAAAAAAATAGAAAGCCAGGTGCGCACTTAGCCACCCATGCACTAAGCAGTCAGTCCTCTCTGCGCGCGTGCCTCCGGACCTCTGCCTTCCACAGCTCCTGAGTCTCAGTGCACTTTCTCTTTTCCTGACAACCCAGATGCCCCAGAATTAATCTGGTTCCCCAGAGTCTTGCCCGGGACTGGAGTTTAGTGCATTTGGGAGTTTTGTCTCCCTCCCACTTTAGAAAGCCAGCCAAGCACTTAGCCGCCTGTGCACTCAGCTGTCTGTCCTCTCCGCACGCATGCAAGTGTGCACGTGCGTCTCTGCACCTCAGCCCTCTGAGTCTCAATGTGCTTTCCTCTTTTTAAAAAATATTTTTATTGATTTTTTTTTTACAGAGAGGAAGAGAGAGGACTAGAGAGTTAGAAATATCGATGAGAGAGAATCATCGATCAGCTGCCTCCTGCACACCCCACATCGGGGATGTGCCCGCAACCAAGGCACATGCCCTTTGACCAGAATCCAACCCGGGATCCTTCAGTCTGCAGGCCGATGCTCTATCCAATGAGCCAAACCAGGTTCGGCTTCTCTTTCCTTCTAGTGGTAGTATTTCCACTCAGCCAGCTTTCCTGTGGTTCTGGATGGTGTCTGTTTTGTCTTTTAGTTATAGTTTTAAAATTGTTTTTTGAGGCAACGGTTTAGGTATTTACATATGCCATCGTCTTGGTTTCTCTTGAAATTATTTATCAGGTGTTTCATGGGAAAGGATTCAGGAGAGAGGTCACTACTCTTAACTCTTGCTCTCTGATCTTGGTCTGTGAACATTTCTGTTGATCGTTGATGTCTGAGGCCAAAAATTATAATACAGCTGGAAAATGCTTAATCAGGATTATCAACCTAAAAATTCCTGATATAAGTAACTTTTTGTCTGGTACATATAGATTAATCACCTAAAAATAATTTTAAATAAAAGATGAAAATGATGATAAAGTAATATTGATTTTAGTGTTGTGTTAAACCCTTGCCAGAGTCCTTTAATCTTGATCTACATTTCTGCAGTTTTGTCACTTCTGGGCATCTCTTGGGGGAGAAACTTGCCAACCCTGCAGAGTTATGCCAAGCTGGCAATGTCATGATGGAACAATATGGGGTCTAGAATAATGTAGAATATCTAAAGCAAGATTAAAACTTCTTAGTGATTTAAAAGACTTGTAAACATACCTGTTTTACTATTTAGATCATGTATATTAATATTTAAAAATTAGCCCAATAGGTATAGTTGTAGTAATTAGAATCTTGATAACTTACGTTCTAAAATGTCAAGAAATTGATAGCCTTTTGTTAGCATTCTTGTGAAATCTAATATTTTTCCCATTGACATTAATCTCCTGATAGGGAGAACATTGTGTAAACGTGTGCTCCGTGAGGTTGGTTTCAGACACGTAGTGCCTTCTATGGATACCAGTGAGAATAATAAAATATTCTTCTTTAAGGTCTGGGTTTCCTGGGGCACAGCCTGTTTCCATGGACAAGCAAAATATTAGACTTTTGGAGCAGAATCCGTATAAAGTGAGCTGGAAAGCAGATGGTACTCGGTAAGTTCTACTTCTAAAAACAGTCATACAGATAGCCCTAAAGCTTGAAAAAAATTGCTTTGTTGTTAGAGGAGGTTTCCATGCTGGGGAATGTGAATTTCTGAATCGAACAACAAAATAAGGCATGTTTCAAATTTTGCAGTTTTTCTTTTGCTAGTATTCTTAGCTATGTAATATTCTCATTCTGCTAAATTTTTGCTTTTAGAGTTCTGTTAAACATAAATCTCTACCAAATTTAAGTTTGAAAGTGTTTTTTTCCCTTGATAATATTGTGCTATTTGGTATATCTTGTGTACACTACCTTGTTTTTAATGGTTCCTGGGATCCCCAAAATTAAAAGATGTGCTCTAGCTGATTTGGCCCAGTGGATAGAGCATCAGCCAAAGGATTGAAGGGGTCTGGGCTCATTTCTGGTCACGTACTTCAGTTGAGGGCTTGAACCCTGGTCCGGTTTGGGGCATGTGCCAGGGGACAGCCAATCAATGCTTCTCTCAAATTGATGTGCCTGCCTCTCTCTCTCTCTCTCTCTCTCTCTCTCTCTCTCTCTCTCTCTCTCTCTCTCTCTCTCTCTCCCTCTCTCCCTCTCTCCCTCTCTCCCTCTCTCCCTCTCTCCCTCTCTCCCTCTCTCCCTCTCTCCCTCTCTCCCTCTTCCTTTCTCTCCCTCTCTCCCTCTCTCCTTCTCTCCCTCTCCCTCTCCCTTCCCCTCTAAAAGTCAGTGGAATAATGTCCTCGGTTGAGGATTAACAAAAACAAAACAAAACAAAACAAAATTAGCAGAAGTGCTGTCAGTTTATAATCTAAATATTACCCGATCTTCCTGATTTATTCTATATTTTGTTTCTTTGAATAGGTTTTTCATTTTCTTTTAATCCTTGCTAATTCTTTTTGTAGTTTATACACTCCTCAGGTTGTATTCTTACAACAAAGCTTAGTTTCAAATTTCATGTTCCTATATTTTATATAGGAATTTCATATACTAATATTTTAATATTTTAAAATATTATACTAATATTATTTTAAAATATTAGTATAAGTTTTGTGCTTCCTCAATAATATTTAACTTTTTCTTACTGTTTTTATAACCCATATTTTTATAGCTTTGATATCTATATGTGTCTAATAAGTCTTTATTTAGCAGTTGGTTATTGATAGTTGAAAAATTATTTTTCAGATATCAATATAGGAGTTTTATTAACTTTTTCATAACAGGGAAAAATGTTTTATAATAATTAGGAATGCACATATATTTTAATTTTTCTCCCAGCTTTATTGAGGTATAATGGACATATCTTGGGTAATTTAAAGTATACAATATGTTGATTTGATATACTTATATATTGCAAAATGATTACTGTCACAGCATTAGCTGACCCCTCCGCCACTTAACATGATCACCATTTCTTTTTTGTGGTGAGAAAATTTAAGATTTACTGTTTTAGCAACTGTATAATACAGTATTAGAAACTATAACCACCATGCTGTATATGAGATCACCAGAACTTATTTGTCTCACGACTGGAATTTTACCAACATCTCTCCATTTCCATCCCCCTTTCAGCCTATGGTAGCCATCATATTAGTATCTGTTTCTATGATTTTGGCTTTTTTAAATTTCATATGTAAGTGATATACCATATTTATCTATCTTATTAAAATTTATTGTTAATGTCTGTCTAATTTATAAATTAACTTGTATAATAGGTATATATATATAGAGGGGGAAAACATAGTACATATAGGGTTTAGTAGTATTTGTGGTTTCAGACATCCACAGGGGTTCTTGGAACCTAATCCCCCCTGGATAAAGGGGGGGTGCTGTATATCATATCTTCTTTGTTCATTGGTTGATGGACATTTGGGTTGTTTTCATGTCTTTGTTATTGTGAATCATGCTGCAATAAAAAGGGGAATGTAGATATATCTTTAAGATTCTGCTTTTATATTTTAATTTTTAGATGTTTGAAGATGATATAGATTACATTTAATTTTTATGAGCAGTTTTTGAATGTCAAAGTGGCAGTTATACTTTTTGTATTATTCTTTCTTCATCTACATTTAATTTGTGGTGACCTTAAAGGATTCATATGGCCCTGGCCAATTTGGTCATTGACCCAGGGTTGATGTCTCTCTGTCACATCGATATTTTTCTCTTTCTCTGTCTTTCTCAATACCTCCCACTCTCTCTAAAAATAATGGAAAAATATCCTCAGGTGAGGACTAAAAAAAAAGATACATACGGAGATATGGAGAAGGGCAGATACAACTTGATTATAATAATAATTAATATAATGATATTTCAACATGATATGCTTTTTAGTAATTATATTTTATTTTTATCAGTTGGGAATATGTCATTGTACTTTCTTTGATTTCATTTGTCTTTGTTGGAAAGTCTTTCTCTTCAACTTCATAATATTTAGCTATCATTGTGGTATTGAGACTTTATTCTTTTGAATATAGTTTTTGTTTCAATATTAATGCTTGGTGTAGTGAGTTCAAATATGTCTTACATATATTTTTTACATATTTACATATTAGATGTTCATTTGTTCACAGTATTAACTTATTCATTTATATTTTTTATTGATCTTTTTTAGAGAAGAGGAAGGGAGAGGGAGAGATATAGAAACATCAATGAGAGAGAAACATTGATTGGCTGTCTCCTGTATGCCTCCTACTTGAGGATTGAGTCTGCAACCCAGACATGTGCCCTGACCAGGAAGTGAACCAGTGACCTCTTGGGTGCATGGGTTGATGCTCAACCACTGAGACACACTGGCTGGGCTGTTTACAGTATTTTGAAGTTACTTTACAAGTGAACTAGCTTCAAAAAAACTAATGATAAAAATTCTAAAACTAATGATAAAAAATTCAAACAGTATAGAGAAATAAAATTAAAAATTTAAGTTTGCCTTATGTTCTTCTAGGAGTATTCATTCTACATGGATGAATCTATAAGCATGGATAGATACAATAAAAGATTCAGATATATAGAATATGAATGACTTGCCTCTTTATGCCCTCTTTCCTGGGCATATGTATTTTTGAAGAATAAATAAAAATTAACTTCATTGCTTATTTTCAGAATGTTGAAATAATATTATATTTTAACTTTTAGGGTTATAATTTCAGAATCTATTAAATTGGTAGTAAGGATCGACCTAAGTTGAGTTTTGTTGAGATGTATATTTTAATTAGATACTTAGTAACAGTGTCTTTTTTTTTTTTAACATATATTTTTATTGATTTCAGAGAGGAAGGAAGAGGTAAAGAGATATAGAAACATCAATGATGAGAGAGAATCATTGATTGGCTGCCTCCTGCACACCCCACACTGGGGATCAAGCCTGCAATACAAGCATGTACTCTTGACCGGAATTGAACCTGGGACCCTTCAGTCTTCAGGCCAATGCTCTATCCACTGAGCCAATCCAGCTAGGGCTAATATTTCTTAACAGATGGGTTTATTACCTACTTCTTTAAGTGGAGAAAGAGTGGGGTAAAATCTACGTTATAGTCAGATTTTATAACACATCTGTTTAAGTAAGCAAGACATATTTGTATTATGCTTCTTGGAGAGAATTGTAGACAGATTTATTCCTCCTGAATTTTGGTCTGGGAATCTCTTTTGTTCATTCATCTAGAAATTATATTGAAAACTTGTTACCTCCAGCTCTATGTCAGATAATGAATGGATTAGGAATGCTGAAGACAGAATCTCCAGCTTTATGTTTTTTGTCTAATCCAGGGTTCAGCATATGTCTTCTCTAAGGGACAGATAGTAAATATTTTAGATTTTGTGGGCCAGGTGGTCTCTGTCTCAACTATTCAGTGCTGCCATTGTAATACACAAACAGCTATATCCTGCTGCTCTTATATAAACAAAAGAGCAAAACTGTGTTCTAATAAAACTTTATTTACAAAAACAGGTAGCAGGTCAGATTTGACCCTTGGGTCATAGTTTGTCAACTTACAAAATATGACAGCTTGTCAACTTATAAAGTTAATCAAAAACATTCTCCTTAAAGACTATCTTTACATCTCAAATGATTTTTCTTTATAAGAAAATGTAAAAGTGAGCTTAAGGTAGGAAAACATAAGCTTAATATAAGACATTTAAAAAAATACTTCAGTAAATTAAAATGTTGAAATGTCTTTTCCTCATTGATTGTAAGTTATTTTTATTTTTAAAATTTATTATTTTTTAAAATATTACTTTATTGTTTAAAGTACTACAAATAGTAGTATATGTGTCCTTTTTTCCCCCATTGACCTTCCCCCGGCCTCCCCTATGATTGTAAGTTATTGCTAATTCCTGGTGCTTTGACAAGTTTTTTTTTATAATTTAAGTAATTTACTAAATACATAAATTTAAGAGGTAAATTAAGCCTTTCCCCTCCTCTCATTAAATCATGCCCCATGCCTTCGTTATAACAGGGTGCTTGATTTATATAATGTTCAGGTAGTTAATAGCTTACTTGGATCCTTTGATATGTATCTCATTAATAATGTTTGCAGCAGATGCTTATTCTAATGACTGGAGCTGAATGTTCAGACAGGAATAGGGTGGATAAGGTAATGAGACGCTAGACTAGAAAAGTCTTACATATTGAGTGGAATATTAAAGAGGTTTCAGATGTCTCTGGAATAATTTTCAGTGGAGTACAAAATCCAAACTGTGTTTTTTATGCACTTAGGAACAGAATGAGTAAATCAAATTATGATCAATTAAGTACTGCATATACTACTTTAATTTAGACTTGTTCACTTAGTTGTTTTTCAGTTCCACATGAGGGAAAAGATCAAAGCAAATATAAATTTCTATTTAGCTCTATTTTTCAAAGCAAATAGCTTCTTATGATATATAACATAAAAACTTTGACTGAATATTGATATTAAATATACTTACTTCCTATCTTATTTTACTGGTAAATATTAATTATAGCTATAGCATCATATCTAATATTTAAAAACTCACTACTGCATAAAATTATACCTGA